CTCTCTCTCTCTCTCTTTTCCTCGCAGGCTCAGCTTTATGTAAAATGAGCAGAATCTCTCCGGTTGAAACCTTTCTTTCCTCTGCGTGCTGAAATATGTGTGAGCTGCAGGGATTTACCCGCCATTCAGCCGTAATCTGACACAGCGGCAGCGCTCTGTGTTGGAAGTGTAGAGATTAGTGGATGGAGACGGGAGGAAATACAGTTCTTACTACAGTTCTTACTGACGTCCACATACAAGCTCCCGTACACCCCCCTTCCCCGTCCTGTCACAGTGATGCAGGTTGAGACCAACAGATCGGAGGTGCAGATCCAGATGTTGACCTTCTGAATGAGCTGCAGACCGAGGTGTCCCCACAAACGGTCCAGTGTTTAACATTCAGGAGGATCTATGAAATATAACAAATGTATATATAACATTCTCGGCTGTTTCCGTTATGAGCCGTTTTTATCTACAGACGCTTCGGGTCGATCTGAACGGGATCCTCTGGTTACAGCTCATTAATTGTAGGAATCGGATTGTGGGCAAACAATCTGTTGTGGATTAAAACTGCGTATCAAACCTCAATAGGAAATAATAAAATAAAAAATCTGACATTTCTGCTCAACGTTTGAGGGAATTTTGAGCTTAAATTCAGGAAGCTGGCTGGAGGTTTTGTGTGTCCGTGATTCATTCAGTCACCTCCGTCCTCTGTCTGTCTTTGTGTTGCCAGAGAGGGAGGCAGAGGAGTCAGAGGATGGAGGGTGAGAGAGGGCAGGGGACATTTACGGTTACATAACAGTGCTTTCAGCATCTCACAGCATCACTGCACATCCTATTTTTATAACACACTGCTCTCTCTGTCTCCACACACACACACACACACACACACACATACCCACACACACATTGTAACAGCGTGCCTATGGAACAGATGGCTCAATATTTTGGCAGACAATGTAAGAACATTCTAATGACATGGATGATTTGTTAATACCCATCAATTACTGTGAATCACAGACTGTGGCTCTTCTGCTCCAATGAGCAAGCATTATTCTGTTGTATATCAGGCCCTTGTGAGACGATCACCACAGTCTTGTTATAACCTGCCCAATACAGCTATTAATACTACAACTCTGTTATTAAACCAATGGATACACCGTGTACAGACTGAGACTTGTGGTACCCCAGCTGCTTAATTCACATTAAATTAAAGATAATTCACTTCCATTATTTAGGAGTAGCAACACACCTTAAAATCTGGACAAATAAAAGCAAAACTAGCTGCATGGGTAGTTGCTACATGAGTGAAAATATGTTTTGTTTGTCATTAAGGGTGAATTGACCCTTTATGTAATCTGCTGGTGTGACTTATTGCTCAATAACCTGGGAGTGGGACAGTGATTACACAATCATTTGACCCATTTGTCTCCCTTGTGCCTTTATTTTCTGGGTCTCACAAAACACTCACATGCACATGCACATGCTCATTCATGGACATGCCACAGACCTGATATCACTGTCAACATAAACCACGTGCAAACAGTTCGGACCATTCATACACACACACACATATAGATGCTCAAACACACACACAGGCACAGACACACCAAGTTCACTCTTCCAGTAAATCTCAGTTTAACAGCCAATCACAATGCTTCCCCATTATGTAACAGCCAATCACGAGACAGTTCAGAGGGTCATTCAGTGTCATTCAATGCAACTGCTGTATTGTTTTACTAAACAAAACATTAAAGGAACCTTTGTCTGAATAAGTGATTTTATTTCTGATTCTGGTTCATAGTCTGTAACCTCAAACCCCACAGAGGGCTCTTTGTTAAAAGTTAAAGCTAATATAAAACTTCACTTTCACTCCTGCCAGCCACAAGACAGTGACATGACAGTGAAAATACCCAATTTTAATAGAAAAAAAGAGAGAGGCAGACAGAGGTGACAGAGAGGCTGAGGGATTTGCAGACAGATGATGATGTGAAGGATTATCCAATTAAATCAATTTAAAGTGACTGGAGCAGCAGTCTGACACTCCAGGATTACTGACTCAGCAAGGACACACTGAGATCACTGTATTTCAATATGGTATACGATGTTTGCAATACAATTCAATGATATGACCTTACTCTATAAATAAGACATCTATAAATAAACGGAAGAAATGGAAGGAACATTTTTGTTGCATGGAAACATTGGTGTCGAATAACAAACGAGACAGAATGAAACATCAACACGAGCTCGATCATTTGATGATAGTATCATGTGTGGCCTGCGAGGCGACATGTAAACATCTGCACACGGGGTGAGGCTCCGCAGTGTGCACCGCAGCTCTGCCTTCATTCAAACAGCCGCACATTACAAAACGCACAACAACAAACAAGCGTGAGTGCAGACGTTCAGCCTCATAAGCCACTGAGTAAATACTGAATAAATAGGCAGTTAGGATATTAATATCCCCCTAACAGAAGGTTCCTGTAGCGC